TTCCCTACTGATAGCATTGTCCTTTAGGAATGCAAATCTCCCTGGATCGTCATTTTAGCAGAAGCCACAGGATAAAAACAAGCTCTGGGGTTCATTTAAAGTCAGCATGCACTAGTTTGCAGTTTGCTCGTGTTTAAGTGCCAGACTTTCAAGATTTGCTTTGCCCACAGGCAGACTGAATACAAAGGAAGACTTGATTTAATTTTTTTCCTGAAGTAGAAAACGTTGCAGAAACATGCAGAACCAAACATTCCTTGCCATCTTCCCCTCTCCCCAGGTTTATCATCACAAAGCAGGGCTTGCCTCACAAGAACTTAGGGAAGGATAAGCAACGAAGTAATCCTGGAGCTGCAAAATGCACCCAGAAGTGAGAAAGAAGGGGGAATAGGGCTGGCACTTAGGGGTGAGAAACAAGCCCCCAAGTCCCATCTTTAAGATGTGTTGAGGTCAGTGGCAGATTTACCACGACACAAACCGTGCGGTGGCATGGGGCCCCAAAACGCAGGACAAATTTGACAAATGACTGAACTTAATAAGCACTGCAAGTCGCGAAGCGGTCCAGACTTTCTGCATCCTGCGAACTTCTTCTGCGAACTGTGCTCTAAACGTGGTTTTTTGAAGTAGTCTAGCAAAGAATTTGCTTCGCCCTTTTTTTGCTGTCTCGAATGCTCTTTTTCTTGGCTGGGGCCCAAGGGGGGGAGGCCGCACTAACGCTAAATCTGCCACTGGTTGTGGTTGCTTGTGAATAGCAGGAAGGTTTACAGGGACGGGATCACAAGGGACCGAGTAGATGGAGGATATCATGTCGCTGTATTTTTATGCATAGCATATACTCTTCTGATTGCTGTGAAGAGTTTTTTGGGGGAAGGGGATGGGGAAATGGCTTTTCTGTAAAGAGCTGGAGTTAAGTCATATGATGCTTTTTCTGTGAAATATGTAAATATCGATCCATTTGTCCTAGGACTTAATTCCCAGTTAATTTGCGGATCTAGCACAGTCTAACTTTTAAGCTCTTAATATACTCATAAGATTCAGTAGTCACTGGCCCCAATGATTAGACAGATGGCAGCTTGTAAACTGAAACAAGTCTTTCTTCTTGGTTTTATTGAACCTTGCTTAGGCAGACAAATTTGCCATCTTACATATGCTGTGGTTTCAGAGGGGAAAAACGGCATTGTGCCTACCTACACCTATGTATTTGGTACAGCATGTTTGTTCTTCTATGGTTATCCACGCTCCAATATGATCAAGACGGCTGCTTCAGGCTCACGTCCTCACTGCTGAACTATGTTGCAAGTGGCTTAATATTAACATCTACCTGAATAGAAAAACTCTTTGCAAGTTAAAATGTAAGCCTGAATTGCAAGGAACAGGTATTCTTTATAACGTCACAATATAGCTGTAAATAAATACAAAATCTTGAACAAGGGCACCTTAGCCAGCTCGTTTCAAAGGAGGTTACCGATCATGTGAGGATTAAATGAAGTATATTTTCCCTGTGGAGTTGAACAAGAGAATTCAAAGCCCTGCTCCTTTTCAGCAGCATAAAGACATTTGAAAGTATTTTCTCCTTTAGAGCTCAATAGCAGGCATGTCGCTGCCTAGGATGCAGTCTACCATATCATGGGGATGAAATGTAATTTCCTAAATAAAATGTTACAAAAACAATATGCTGTGGTTTCCTGGTGATGAGACTACTTACAGGTGCAGGATATTTAAGTCTCAACATAATTAGACTCAGCACCTGCGTAGCAACAGATTTATTCCCTATCATTTTGTTTGTCTGTGAAGTGAAAAGACATACGGTCTTGCTCACAATAATTTCTTAGGAGGATCAGTGAGCAGTGCATTCTGTTCCTATTTTTCAAACATTTCTTTTTTGAAATAATTATACAGGAAGATCAAAGATACTATGTCTAGTAGGACTTGACTTAGGAAATATAGGCTCTAATTTTGCACTGAGTCTTGAGTGGGTTGGACCCCTATGCATTCATGAAGTCCAGTGGCTTTTGGGGGCAAAAGAATAGCCGGCAGTTATACCATACTGTATTGCCTTCAAAGTGTTTTGCAAAAGTATCATTTCTCAGTATTGTAAATCGGTTCCTTATTGGCCACATACTGTGCAACTTCTGAATTTCATTCACCTAGTGGGGAACCTTTTCTGATTTCTGCTGCCATGTGAGGAACAAAATTGCATGAGGAAAATAAAAAAGAAAACAGTAATTTCTGCTTGTGAGAAGCAGAAGAATTATCTTCAGACAGTGGCCCCAAGGGAGCCATCCTTTGATCTAGAGATTTTTTTATTCTGTTCAGCACTTCACTGCGCTTTGTGTATATATACAAAACTTTTAATTGATTTTGCAACTAGTTAGGCCTTTACTGTGCCACAGAATTTTGCAGGGAGAGTTGAGAAGGGGAGTGAATTCCCACTAGTGCCACCAGCAGTTCGGCTGTTAGTTTTGGCTAGTCGTAGATCCATAATTATCGTTTTGGCTGCGGACGATGTGTGTCAATTATAGTTCTGTGTAACTAGCAGGGCTTGATAGATCATTTATGGCCTTGTTATGCTCTGCTACTGAGGTTTGAAAAGTGTTTTATCAGTTGGAAGTGAGTTTTTAATAACAAATAAGATGAACTGCTTTGAAACCCAGTGGTGGTGTTTGCTCTGATCATGGTGCATGTTTTTTTCTGGGCAGATATTGCCCCTCTCCCGCTGGACGAAGCATAGAAGGGAAAGTGCAAATCAAGCTTAAATATGAAGAAACGGTCCATTGGAAATTCAGGCTCCTTGATGGCAGCTTCAGATGTTCTTTGCTTGCAGAGGTTTAGTCTGGCCAGCATGATCTCAGATTGTCGATAACCTCTCTCCCCTTCTGAATCTGTATGCTCATCCAGTTGCATACACTAGAACACAAAACAAAAGTGCAAATGCATCTCTGCTAAGTCGTGCTCAGATACGTGACAAACGTATTTCATATTTACTCCTTAGGAGCAAAGCCCCAGCAACCAGACCTCAATAGCAATGATGCAAGAGCCTCAAGAGATGGTGGAGGAGACTGTAACGGTGGAGGAAGATCCAGGCACTCCCACTTCCCATGTGTCTATTGTGACTTCTGAAGATGGAACCACAAGGAGGACTGAGACCAAGGTGAGAATTTCTGGGACATTAGAAGGGTTGTTTTGCAGGTAAATTTGCCATGCTTTTAACCACTGAGGGAAATGGCAGAATCTCAGCCTAGTCATGGGAATGATAAAATAGCAGCGCATAAAATAGATTAGTAGAATGACAGTCATACCAGCCTGCATATCTCAGCCTGGCTACAACCCATAGCAGTGCTGGGGGTTCCTAGTGCTTTGTTCTTCAGATAAAAGGCTTCCAGTTTTAGCTCTTGAATAACTGCTCCTACTGCACATGATTGTCTGTGCATGTTCACAAACTGCGGTCAGTACCAGGCAGGTAGCCTATCAGATTCCTTATGAATCCAGATGCTACTTCTGTCCATCTTCTCCTATTAGCTGCTGTTCTTCTATTACTTCCCTTGCTGCATTTTGCCTCAAGTTGATTTGTAATCTCTGCAGGGCAAGTGTTGTGTGTTCAGGGATGCCTGACATGCTTTGGAATGCTATTAGCATAGTAATGTATCCAAAGAGCTGGACCTTGGGAGTTACGCTGGCATCTTTTTTAGGCTTTGGTCCTGTGCAAGGTCAAGGTTGTTTCCATTTTTAAAAGTTTTAAACAGCATTGGGTAAAAACAAAATGGTTCAGCTGTTTTCCACATTAGGCTAGACATGAGCTACCGAAGAAAAGTCAAATATAAGTCACTGTATGGACAGGGGTATGCTTACCACCGCTCCAGAATTATAGAGCCTTACAATACCAGTTTAGTACATCAGGTCTTCAGGCTGGTATAAGGGGGCATGACTCAGAAGTCCCTGTGACTAACTAAATGAGGGCTGCAGCAGAAGCAATGCCAACAGAAGATCAACATTGAAGGATTCAGGGACCCAAGTGAGCGAGACCTCTTCCACCAGTGCCTTAACAAAAGACTGGTGAATTCCAATCAGCAACAATGGGATAATGTCAGCAGCGTGAGTGGTGCCCTCAAGGCCTCTGTTATCGGCGCCTTTGAAGAGACACTTGGATTTTCCACCAGGAAACATCAAGACTGGTTTGATGAGAACAACTGGGAGATCCAAGACTTGATTGATCACAAGCGCAAGGCCTTTTGTGCTTGGCAAAATGACATCAACTCCAAGCAAAAGAAACTGAATCTCCAGCGAGCCAAGACAGAGGTCCAAAGGAGGTCCCATGCTATGAATAATAAATGGTAGAAAGACAAGGTTAAGGAGACTCAACATATCACTGACATCCATGAAATGTGTGGTTTCTTCAGTGCCACCAAAGTCATCCATGGTTCAAGCACTGAGGGACCAACCGCTTTGAGATGTAAGGATGGAGGAGACCTGATCAAGGAAAGAGGAGTCATCAATGCCTGTTGGAAGGAGCATTTTGAAGACCTTCTCATCAAGACTCTGTTGTTAATGAGAGTGTTCTCAAGTCCATCCCGCAACACCCAGTCGGAGATGATCTCAGAATCCCTCCAACCTTTGCAAGGTGAGCAGAGCCATCAAGCAGATGAAGAATGACCAGGCATCTGGACAGGATGGAATATCCCTACAGAAATCTTCAAGCAGGAGGGAGAGGAGCTCACATCACAGCTTCACACTGTCATCTTAAGGATCTGGAATGATGAGAAAATCCCAGATGATCTCAGGGACACAATGATTGTGACAGTCTTCAAGAACGGAGACAAGTCCAACTGGAAACTAGAGAGGGATCGGCTTGCTATGCACCACAGAAAGATCACTTTGAGAACCCTCCTGAACAGTCTCCTTCCCCATGTTGAAGAGCTCCTCCTGGAACCTCAGTGTGTGTTTAGGGCATCAAGAGGCACAACTGATATGATCTTCAGAGCTTGCCAGCTGCAAGAGAAATGCCGGGGACAAGATAAGCCTCTCTGCGTGGCCTTTTTTGACATCATGAAAACTTAAGACTCTGTCAGCTAAGAAGTGTTGTTGAGGATCCTTCTGAAGTATGCATGTCCATCAAAATTTGTCACTATTCTCTGCCTGCTTCATGATGGTATGTGAGAAATGGTTCTCAGTAATGGATCCATCACAGATCCCTTTGAGGTTAAGACAGGAGTTAAACAAGGCTGCATCATCATTCCAACACTCTTCTCAATATTTCTTGCTGTGATGCTACATCTGACCACCAGCGAGCTTCCAGCCAGAGTTGAGCTAAACTACTGAATGGATGGTAAGTTGTTCAACCTCAGCTGACTGTGAGCCAAAACCAAGACCACCTTGACCTCAATCACTGAGCTCCAGCATGCTGATGATGGAGCATGCTGAGTGTACACTCACTCAGAAACACTTTCAGGCAATTGTCAACGTCTTTAAGAAATCCAGCGTCGCCTCAAATGTGCAAGTGCAGCCTTTGGATGCTTGAAGAAATGGATGTTTGAAGATCATGAGATCAGATTTAAAGCCAACCTCTTGGTTTATCAAGCAGTCATGATCCCCACCTTGATGTATGGAGCTGAGACATGGACAATGTACAGGAGACATCTAAAGTTGCACCATCAATGCTGCCTGTGGAAGATCCTCCTAATCCGGTGGGAAGACAGATGCATCAACTTTAGTGTCCTTATGTAAGCAAAAACCACAAGTATTGAGGTGATGATCATCTGATATCAATTTTGTTTGGCTGCCAATGTCATCCAGATGTCCAACTCCAGACTCCCAAAGCAATTTTTATTCCCCCAGCTCAGCCAAGGTGTATGTTCAAGAGGAGTGCAGAGAGAATGCTTCAGGGCCATCCTCAAGGCCAACAATGCAACATTAATGTCAATTTATGGGAGACTATCACCAAGGACCAGCTCAAATGGAGAAAGAGTCTGCTGCAGGGATCTCCGTACTTTGAAACCTTATGACAACCAAGTGGGAGCTGCAGAAACAGTGTGTCGTGGACCAAATCAAGAATCCAGAGCCACCCACCCCACACGAAAACACATGTCCAAGCTGCAGTAGAGCCTGTTGAATCTGGGTAAGCTTCATCAGTCATCTTTGGCCACACAGATAAGACAATCATGGAAGACATCCATCCTTGACTGCGAGGGATTGCCGAAGAAGAAGAATTCAGTGCATCCCCCCAATCAAGTACTGCTATCAGGGTTTCTCTGGAGTGCCAGGAACTGCTGTTCTTCCCCTGTGGATTAAAACAGTGAATCTAGTCCTGCTCTTAAGTGTGCACTGGCTTTCTT